GCCAGCTAACTGAGGTAAGCCTGCATCTGTCTCCAGCCAAAATATATGTAGGCTGAAAAGTTTGTCCACATGCCCCAATAATGTATCGTAACAATTTGGGCTTAGACTTTTAAAATATGTAAGATGACATATGGCTTAGGAAAGTATGTGAGAGTTCATAGGGAATACATAATGATCTAGAAACTCTATTTTTGTCAATTATTTACTAAATGCTGTATGGCCTTGTGCTCAACACTGCTCAAATGTAGTGCTTTCCCTTTAAGAGGCTTATAATCTAAAACATACAAATAACCATATGCAGAAAAAAAGCTAGAGATCAGAGTAAAAGGAAGCATTCACAAAAAAATGTACAAATTCAGCATGCCAGAACTTTTCAGTTGAGCAACATGATCCCCAGTGAAATTCTTTCCAAATGATGTATCGTGTGCACAAGTTATAAGTGATTATCTTCAATTTTCTTAGAAATGAGTAATAAGATACCTCTTAAGACCCATGCTTTTGTATATGCATCAAACACTGAAGTTGGCGTGGTCATTGATAGCTGTCATTTAGGGAGAAAACATATTTTCTGTCTTTTCTCATACCAGACAAATCCAGGACTCTTTTATCCCAGATCGGTAATAAGCCGCCTTTTTCTAGGCTACAGTGAACAGCAAACATTGCAACTCTAAAGATGGAAGTAGCAGAATGCTCAAAAATATTGCATCAAAATATTGGATACAACCTACCAGTCTATAAGAAAAAAACACATTGCAAAACTGACACCATCTGTGTCATTTAGCATCCATCAAAATTCTTATGTCTGTATTTCCTAATGCTTCCAAAATGGAATTTGCTCCAAGAATTAAGAAACTCTTTAAGATGGCGGCCCTATTAAGAGACTTCTCCCTATCTCCCACTTCATCTCTTCAGTTCTTTTCCCTTGCCCAGGCTGGCTATTGTGACCATTTCAGCCAATTTCCTGGAGGTATTTTCTAGCCCTTTTCACCCTTTTTAATCCTACAAGTTTCCTGGGAAGCCTGTTTACTTGTATGCTCCCCCACTAGACTGTGAGCTCCTTGACAAAAGGGATTGTGTCTCACTCCTCTCTGCACCCCCAGCACCTATTACAGAGGCTGCCAAGGAGTTGGCAGTGTTAGACTCCTTTCAGCCCAAGGTGCCCCACCAATCATCAGCCATGTCCTCCATCAGATTGATGGCTCCCTCTAAGCACAGCTTGGTATCAGTATCAGGATTCGTGTACTATTCAGACCACATTTGAAAGAATTCTCTAACTGTTCCAAGTTAGCACACAATACAAAGTTTTTTGTATTGTTCAAAGTTTTAACAAATCACCTGGTCACCCAAATGTCTAGTGCAATCTCAGAAGAGAGAAAACCTTTCCACACCTCACTTATTATTCTCTCTCGATATTAGGACCGCTAACTGCTTCAAACTAATTGGGGAACCGCAGCTGGCAACCCAGATACGGAGGCTAGTTCTCACAGTAAAAACAACAACAACAAATACCAAACTCTCTCTTTGTTTCAAGCACGTTGCTTTTTATTTTTTATGTTGTTTCATCTATTTCAAGAAACTGCAAGTCAATTTTGGCTGTTCAAGACTGCCTTTTACCCATACAGGCATTTGGCCTTCTGGATTGGTTCTCGCACTTTCCAAGGCCTTCCAAGGCAAGATCCCTCAATCTTTTGGGAGTTGCAACACTACCACGGTTTGTTTGATTTTCTCATTTCCATCCATCCCTTACGCTACCCCCCTCCCCTGACAAAAGTGGTGTATGGCATTCATAAAGTGAATTACACTTGATTTTTGTTTAGAGGAATTTTTTTCTAGACTTCTGTAACATTCCCTTGAGACAACTGGAAACATCATTGTCTGATTACTAGCTCACTTTCCTTGCCTAAAATTGTATCCATTCTTGATTGCGCCTGTGGGTAGGTTAAGCAAAACAAAATAAACATCTAGACTTATGAGCTCATTGGCTTTTTTCTGAATTTTTCTAAATTAAATAAGGGCAAAAGAGCTGTACTGAAAGTCAGTTATATGGATTTTTCTGCCAAATGCTAACTCTGTGCGCCTGGTTTCCATCTGTGGTGCTTTCCAAGTTACAAATCCTTAAAAAAATAAGTGGGGTATGAAGAGATCTATGGATTTTGGGGACATGCTATTTAGAACTGCTATCCTGTGACTTGAACACTCCAAAAGAAATGGGAACATGAGATTTTAAGGCTTTAGATCAGCTTTGTGGAAGTCTAGTGTAGTCCTTCAGCACCAGTGATTTATTTTTTAGGCTGGCTTGTCTCAAATGCCATTTAGTCTCATCCATATCCGCATAAGAAATGTACCTTATTCAGGCTAACCCAATTCTGCTAATGGCCAAAGTTAGCCGTCAATCCCAAATGCTCCCCCTAAGTGAAACAGGACATTCTTGAGGATTTCTCCTTACTGTGACTGAATCTCATTTGATCTGGGACAAAGAAAGCTTTAATGCAGTTAATATAGTACAGCAGGCAAACTGAACGTGGCTTAAAATATGGATGTGGAGGGGGAAAATCAAGCGGTCATCGTGGTGGTTCATAATTATCAAATAATTTTCAGCTCTCTTTCAATTTCCAACCACTGAACGACAGCAGCAAATTATACATTCATTCACTTCAAAATTATGCACTTACCATTGTATTTAGTCTGCCATTATTGTCTCTTCCCTAAAATACTGATGCGCTCTTTCCACACACGAACATTAGGATTTTCACATTTTCCATATCTACAGTGACCATATTTGTCCCACTAAAATTCAGGACACATGGTTTCATGCCAGGGCAGAGTATTAGAAACCTGCACTGCCCCTGGAAAATCCAGGATATATAATGGTAGCTGTATGAGGATCACCATATTTGAAGTTTGGCTTGGCTAGTGCAAGTCAGGACAGTGCCTGCCATGTAGAAGGTGCTCAACAGTGTTTGTGTTTGTTAAATAGAACTGAAGCAGGGAATGTTGGGTTTATATGATGAAAACCCTTGAAAAGTGATTTCTCCTATAGAGTTTGTGAAATAGCAGAGGAAAATGAAAAACCTTTATTACAAATCCCTCTTCTCTATAAGTGTATGGCTATCCCTAGGCCTAAAGGGAGGGAAGGAGCCCAGGCCAAATCTCATACACACAGTGTGTGGGCCCTCCCAATACTTTTATACAGATGCTGCAAAGAGGCAGGCAGCCAGAGAGCTGGGGGAGAGCGAGGGAGGGCGATTGCCTGCAGGAGTGTGTGTGGAGAGGGGGGTTGCTAAATGACTATCTGTGCTTTCCTCTGGCCTTTTTCTTCTTTTGGGCACCATCTTTACCTCCTGGCTTTGAATCAGCCAAATGTGACCCCAACCCCAACCCTGGACCCATTCGTCTTGTGGGGGCTCAGCCTGTGAGGATCAATTTTTACATTACCGACAAAAGCATGTTCTCTAGCCTTAACAATCTAATTACCATGGCACTTCCAGGGGAGAGAGATTCGCCAGTTGTTTCAGTTCTGTGGAACTGATTCATAGGTTGCCCCTTACAGCTCCTGCACATGCCCACGTGGTACATTATTAACACTTAACAGTGGATGAGGTAGTTCGACCCTCCCTTAGAGCGAAATCCTGCAATGCAATATTTAACATATGCGCAAATGCATTTCAGTCACCAAAAAGGGTGACCAATTACCTTTGCAACTAAACAGCAGGCTCACTCGGCTCTTTTCATCAACCTAAAGAAAAGGCTGAGGGCGCGCTGGCTGCCTAGGTAACCTCCTACCAGTGAACGCTGGCTGGTAGCGCCCACGGGGCGCGCATCCGCATTCACAACTTGGTCCAACCATCGGGCCCGCCTCCATGACTTGTTGAGAGCCACCAGCCAAGTTTTGGCTAGGGCTGCTCCCCGATCCCTCGGAAGCGCGGGACGCGCGCCTCACTGGATGCCTGAGTTGAGAAGAGACCCCGGAGGCCACAAACGTCTCACGGTTACGGAATACAACTGGCCGTTTCTTCTCAGTGCACCCCTGACAAATTAACCTGTTTGAAACCGACTCTTCTTGTCCGCATTGTCAGTGTAGCTACTTGGTCTAATTGGATTCTAAGGCGGGCGTTAGGAGCCCAACCGCTGGACAGTCAATCACGCAGGGCCATTAATATTCATCTGTTGACAGCGGCAGCCCTCCGCTAATGTTAAAATACGTCGTTACGGCACGATCTGATTGTGCAGAACAAAAGGCAGGCGTTCAGAAACTTTCCTCCACCTAAAATCATCTCCCCTTTAGGATCCAGCCTGTCAAGAAGGCAGATGAATTTGGGAGGGGGAGGAGTTAAATTTCTTTGGACTCCGGCTCCCTGGGCCAGCAGCACCGGTTTTAAAGCGATTTCGCTAACCTATATAAGGGATGCTGTTTTGAAGGAAAAGGTTCAGTCCTCCTCATTTTGGGGACCCTCTTATTCAAAAGTTTGCCTCGGTGTGTCTTCACCCGCCACTGCAAATTCAGAAATCTGTCCTCAACTTTGCTTGCACTTGGGCCCAGGCTTAGGAAACCCAGGCTGGGTAAAGGAGGGCATGGGGGGCACGCTGGGGAAGGGACGGCTGGAGCTGTGGTCCAGCTAAGGCTGAAATTCTGACACGTATGTGCGAGCAAGGATGGCAAATTCCCGAGGCACCAGCTCGGCTGCGGGGCGCCAGTTCGCAAAGACCCGGGAAAATAGCTCCCACCTTCTCGCCCTTCCAAAAAAACAGGCGCTCACGAGAGGGCGATCCCCACGTTTCCTCCCGCTCACACCTTCCCTGACAGCAGCGTGAGACTGGGGTAAGTGGGCTCCGTCCACACACACCCTCTCTCCCTCCCTCAGTAGATCCAGCCAGGCCCCAGGCACACCGACCACTCCCAAGTGCCCAGCTGCAGGGCGCACGACTACAGCCCGGCGGGGCCACCACGCGCCCCTTGCTCCCCGCTGAGTGCGGGGAACGCTCAAGGGACCCCTCCTCACCTGGCACGGGAGTTTCGGGCACCCACTTGAGTCCGGGCTGCAGTCTCTGGAAGAAGGAGCGGACTTGGTGACAGGTGGCGTCCGGCGGCGGCGGCGGGGGCTGCGCCTGTCCCGGGAAGTCCAAGCTGAGCAGCATCGCCACCACCAAGCACGCGGTGCGCATGGTCCCGGCCATCCTGCTTCGCAGGGAGCTAGGAGAGCGCGGGAGAGTGGCAGCCGGAGCGAGAGCAGTCCCAGGACTCGGCAAGCCTGGCAGTGGCCCTGTGGAGCAAGAGACGTGCTGCTACCCAGCCGCTGCAAAAGTTTCCTCGCAGCTACCTGGGCGCTGGGCGAGGGCGGGAACCGCTTGGCGGCGCGGGGCAGGGCGGGGCTGACTGGGGTGGGGCGGAGCGAGGAGAGACGGGGCGGGGCGAGGGGAGCCGCGCGGCCAGGGGGCGGCGGCGGTTGTGCAGCCGGTAGCCTGCGGGGTGCGGGGGCGCGGCGTGGAGGGCGGCGGGGGCCACTAGGGCACCGCGTGCGGGGACCGGGCGGAGGCAGTGCGAGAGGAGGGTGCGGAGCGCGCGCGGTGGCTCCCGGCAGCCGAGCCAAGCTGCCCGTTCGCCGCCGCTCTACACAGGGCGCTCTGGCATAACTACTGCAGAGGGGCTACAGGCTCGAGCGCGCTGATTGGCTTCCCAGCAGCCGTCCCCTCTGACTGGCTCTGGGAGAAGTTCCCCAGCCTCACTCCTCCTTCCCGCCGCTCATTGGCCTACAGCCTGGAGGGCTTTTCCCTTTAGGATTTTTGCCTCCTTTTCATCCTTCCTGGGGGCAGGTGGGGGTCCCTGGCTTAGGTGCCCCTCCGCTTCGCCACAGGCCTTCTTTCAGCCTGTGCCAGCTCTTTCCTGGCCAACAGAGCCACACAAGGTATTCCTTCACACAAAATCCACCTCCTCATTCTACTCTCTGAGGAGCTTCCCGCGAACCGTTTTCCTAACGCAGCTCTGACCAGGTTCTCAAAGCCAACCCGCAAATAGTCACGTTCAGGGACAGCCAGGGACCACTGGGCTTTTCACAAGCTGCCTCACCTTTGAATACTGTATCTTAAAAGTCTGAAAGCCCCTGTGGCTTGCTAGATTTGATTCAATAGAGCCACACAAAGTCAGAGAAAGCACCTGATTCTGGGGCGTTAAAAGAAAATCTACTGCACGAGAGTCCCAGGTGGCCCTTCAAGAGGCAAAGCCTAACTAGTTACAACGAAATAACCAGGGGCTTAAAGCTAGCCTAACTCATTAGAAAATCATTACACAGCAAATTTATTGAGCCAAAGCTAGCCTATTTCATAGATGGAGTAGAAGGCTATTTGAAAGATCTTCTACACCCAAATCCCACCTCTCCTGCTTAGATTTCACCATTAGAAATCCAGTTCTTTGAGAATCAAATATCTCTCCGAGGAGGAATACATTTTGGTCATTACCTATATGCTGGTAAGGAGGGATCTTTAGCATGGATTCTTTTCATGATCCTCCACACCCTACTCCACTAGAGAACTCAATAAGTATTTGTATGATGAAATTACTTAACACCTCTGCATGAATTGGTTTGTCATCTGAGGTTTTGTTTCTGACCTAGGTGAAAGTAGGTTTTGAGGGAGAACCTCAGCACCAGGAAATTGTCTGGGGTGTGCAAGGTCAGGGGAGAGGAGGTTGTGTTCCAGGACCCATGGGCTGAGAAGGGAGACAGAGAGAGGAAGGTCACGGTGGAAGTTCATTTATCCATTTATTCATTCGGTAACAAATATTTGAACTCCTACTGTGTTCCAGGCACTGTAGATTACAAACAGACAATGAGGATACAAAGATTAACCAACCCGTGGTACCTGACCTCAAAGAACTGCAAACTAATGGGGAAAACAACCAAGTCGAATGTTAACCCACTGTGTGAATGCTAAGATAAGAAAGTTCTAAGGGTTACTAAGAGGGGGAATCGGAGAAAGCGTGCTGGAGATGATGACCTAAACTCAGACCAGTAGGAGTTTAGGTGAGACAAGCAGATGGGGAGAAGGGTGCTGAGGCAAAGAAAGCAGTGTAAACAAAGACACTGAGGGGAGAGGGCTTGGCATGGCCCATTTGGAAGGTGGGAGGTGCAAGTAATGATTTCATGTTGGGGAGTTGGAAGAGCTAAGGTGAGAGAGGTAAGCAAGGGCCAGATTATGCAGTCTTGAAGCCATGTGGAGGAGCCTGGGGAACCACTTAAGGAAATTTTCAGCACGGTGGGGGAAGGGGGCGCCGTGATCACATTTGCCTGAGTAAAAGATCTCTCCAGCAGCACTGTGGAGAATGGCTTGGAGAAGGAAAATGATTGGAAGCAAGGAGACCAGTTCAGAGGCTGTGAAAATAATTCAGACAAGAAATGATAAAGTCCTGTAGCAGAGAAGATTTGGAAATGGAAAAAAATTACTGGAGATATTTAGCATATAGCGTTAAAAGGGTATAATGACCTAGTGGATATGGGGGATGGGAGAGAAGGAGTCAAGGACGGAGGGCCCATTCACTCTTTTTTCAACAAACATTTGAGTGCGGCCAATGTATCTGGCATTCTTCTCCTACTTCATAATTTTGCCTGGGGCTAGGCCTGCGCCTGCATTGAACATTTGACAAATGACATATCCACTTTAAAAGAAACACCAATTAAGAGTCATAATTTGGCTGGTGAGTTTGATATGTTCCACCTGTGGAGCCCTGTGACCAAAGGGCAGATTGGAAGGCAAGCATTGATTGAATTTCATGACCTTGCAGAGGAAGACATGACCTCCCATAAATTCATGATCTTCCAGAGCTCATGCAACTAACTACAAAGGCAACAGTTGTTTTCAACTACTGGGTATTGAGTACCTGGAAAAAGGGGAATGTGACTTATTTTTAATACATGCCTTTATATTTAATATACTTTGTATGAGCTAGGTCAGTGCTTTCCAAAGTGAAGTGTGTGAATCCCTGGGTTAACTGAAGTGGACCAGTGAAGTTTTTGCTCTTCATTTTAATAAATATTTATTTTAATGGTGGATTAGAAAAAATATATGTAACTAGTACATCCAACCCATGATTTTGTTAGGACAAAACTAAGTAGCTGGTGCCATGATACATTTATTTCAATAAAAATGTGAACTGGTTTGAAGAAAAATATTTAATTGTAATGGGAATATGAAGATATAACAAAATATGTGGGGTGATATGTGAATGACTAGGCTTTGGGCTGTCATAGGCAAGCTGGCCCTGAGGTTTTGGAAAATATTTCTTTGGCCTAAAAGCTTCTGCTGCCCCTCCAAGCGGCTACTTCAGAGCTTTTAGCCAACCTAAGGTAAGAGTTAATAAAACTTGCTAGGTTTAAGGAGTGGTTCCATTTTTATAAGTGCCTCTCAAAGACTTTCTAACCTTCTACTCCCTAAGCGATGACTCTAATAGCAGAATTTCAGGCACTGAAACTGACATGGAGGAAAGCTTGCAGGAAAGCTATGAGCAGCTGTCCGCCCTGCCTACCCAGTAACTTGGAATTTTACTGATGAAAATCCAGTTCCTTAACCAAAGCATACAATCTGTTACATCACATACTATATACTGCCCAAATGGGCGACTGTGAATTAAGACTGGGTTTTCTTTTCCTCTTTTACATAAACAACTGTCTTATCTTTCAAGGTTCCCTTCCTTGTGTTAGAAGTAAGGCCAATGATTCATCCTTACTCTTCAGCTAGTAGAGACAAAGAGAAACAATCAGTCTAGAAACACAAAAGGATGTGCTGATTGAGCCAGTGTTCACTTTTGACAATTCATGATTCTGTGCTTTCAGGCCCAGTTGGAAGCATTTAGATAACATCGTTGGGCCCCATCTTTCTCTTTGGACCCCAGAGGAAGGCTACCTAGCACAGCAGGCCCAGAAGAACTTTTCTTCACCTTTCGCTCCTAGTCTCCAGTTTGAAAGAATTCGAGAATTCCCAGCTGTAGCCAGCAGCTATTATCTTGCTGTAGCTGGGAGGAGAGTCTGGTTCCATGGCTCCAAAAGCAGCATAAATCAAGTTTTCTGGGAGAGGGTTAAGAAAGGGTGTTCAACAGCTGCCGCCATGGGAGGAGCTCATACACAGCCGTGCACGCGGCCACACACGCACACATTGTTTGTCTTGGGCCCAGTTTCCTTTGCCCCCCAGGTGATGTTCTCCTTTCCCCATATCCCTCAGGTACACAGTATCTTCTGCCCTGAACTCCACTCTCAAAACCTGCTTTCAGAAAAGAAACTTTAAAACTCATCCGTTTACAGTGTATATGGTTGATAGGTTATAATGGGGCTGCCCACCCAGGGGTACAAGTATTTTAACAGGATCAAAGCTTTAAACCAAAGGAACAGAGCTCTAAAAACAGTGGAATTCCAGGCATCCGCCAGTGGGAAGGGAGTGTTTAAACTGAGGGGCAATGAGGCCTTTTTTGGTGCACCTGAAATCACATCATGTAGACAGTTGCTTATATGTTAGACTGGTGCTGCTCACAGTCAACACCTCCCTGGCCACACCTCTGCACTCTGTGGCACACAGCCACTTTGTCTCCCCTTCTCTTGCAGTGTATGACTCCTTTGTGGGGCAGAGGGGAGGGGAGGCGCCAGGCACACTGATCCCAATGCTCCCAAATGTATAAGCTATGATCAGAGAATGAATTATGGTCCTTTGGGAAAGAGTGTTCATTCATCCATCCCAGCCAGCAGGCCAGTGCAATGTAAATGGTAACTTTGTAAGTTGAAAGACTTAGAGCCATTTTGAAAATTGCATAATAATCCCAGGCAGAATTTGGCTCCATGTGTATGGAAAATTAATAGACCCTGCTGAGATGCTTGCATTGTGAGTTGTGGATGGATAGCCTCTCCTCAGACCAGGGACTATGCTTTGCCCTCACTAAATCCACAAAATATACTGAGCTTCTTGTAAGTCAGAGTCCAAGTCTTGAAAAAGACTACTGAAAATTTTATTTGTACCATCATGTTGATTACCACAAATAAAAAATTATTCTATTCTGTGTGTGTTTGTATAAGGGATATTGACCTAGATTTCTAACATGTTTCTTCATATCCCAGTCCATTGATTTTCTTTTTGATTGGGCAGATGCACTGTATGTAAATCTAACATTTTGTGTCTCTTGCATAGGATATTTGGTTTTCTATAAAAATTTAAGGGGTTTTAGTTTGGTGATTGAGAGCACAGTAGCTTTAAATCCAAATGCTGGTGATGCCTGAGGCATGGCTTTATGTGCCACATGGCAATTCACACGTACTTTGTTTTGCTTTGAATCATTTTGGACCAAAAAACACAGTGGTTCAGGTAACGTAATATATCTGTTTTGATGTACGATGTGTAGAACCTCGAATAATTTCACTAAGATTTTTTCTGGGTCTTTAT